TGAGAAAAAAGAATGTCTCACATGCATACTCTAGAGATTCAAAAGAGATCTCAGCAAAGTTTAAACTGAGCTCAGATTTGCCAAGACATCAAAAGTCAGAGATTTCGCTAACACTTTACAATAAGGTTTCATTTTTTAACAATAGTTAACTACATTAGTTAATATGAACTTTATGAAAAAAAAATCTAAAGCATCACTTTGAGTCTTAAGGTCCAGATATATCCTACTAACGGCGGAGTTCTTTTTCGTTCTTCGTTTTGGGATAAAATATACTGCGATATACTCAGTGTTGTGCCTGAACGCGTTCAATAAACGATAGTTCATGAACTCGTTCATATTTTGGGCGAACGTGAACTGAACGTACTGAATTACTGCCTGATGAACGTTACTGTGAAGTTGAACGCGTTCATTCTGGTGTCTGTGAACGCATGCTCTCTCAGTTTAACTTCGTTCAATAGGGTGCCAGATTTCTATAGAGCCTTCCAGGCGAAAACCCGGCTAAAACACACGTAAACAGGCATTAATATGTAGCGAAAAAAACACTCAATATGGCAACACCAGCCACCAGTGTCGCACCGCGGCCGCCGCATGCGTCATCAAAACAAAAAGCAGCATGTAGTCGACAAAGTAGCGAGCGAGGAGGCGTCGTATGATCATTTAAACGAGTTTTATGACAAGGTCGGTGAGGATGGGAAAAATCTTACATTTCTGTGCAAACTTTGCCCGTCGATAAAATAATTGCTGTCTGTGGCTGTGGCAATAATAAAAAATAATAAAAAAAGCTCCCAGCATCATGGAAAAAAAGAACTATGACCTAGTTCATTTTTTGAAGTATGCACTATGACCTGAACTAGTTCATTTTAAAATGTGTGAACTGAACTTTGAACTAGTTCATGTAGAAAATGAACTTTCCCAACACTGGATATACTGTTATCGTACATCTGACGGTATTCACACTGATGAGAAAGACATTTAGATGAAAATGTAAATGTGGGCAAACTGGCACTATGAAAGTGCAACATTTTAGAAATTAAAATTTCTTCGGAGCAGTTTAAATAAATAAAAAATAGTAAACATGCACAAAATGATAAGGAACAGCAAAATACATTAAAAACATGCAGATGTACATACTTTTTGTATAGAGACATGTACGTAAGTGTCTTACAATAACCCAGTTACAATTTGTCCTGTAATTCCATTATGTGTGTGTGTCTGTTCAATTAGCAAAATGCCATTTGAGCATTTACTCTAAATTGGCCATCAAGCCACCATCGGCCATAACAAGTGTGTTTTATTCTCCTCTTAGCTAAAAAACATGCTCTCTAGCAGCAATCAAACAAATGAAGAGACATAACATCAATTAGCTGTGAGTCAACAAATGGAGACAGGCATTATTTATCAAAACACATTCATATGGATGAGTTTATTTTTAGAAATGGGTACTTAGTAATCTAATTGATGGTGCATCATGTTGTTTTGTCTCTCATTTGGCATAATCATAGCATTAAACTGTGTGTTGTAAATGTACTCTGGCCATGAAAGCTGAGGCTTGATTAAAAACAAGGGAACTGTCCCAAATCATATGACAAAGGGTGACTTGTGTGTAATCACATTATAAACACAATAACTGACTTTTCTTAGTGGAAGCTTAAATATAATACAGTTAAATCATTAAAAAATTAACTCAAGTCACTATTGGCAAGTAATAAGCTGGGATAATGTACAGTCAGCCTTACAGACACATTTCTATACCCTCTTGCCATATAACGCACAAAACTGTCGGGAGACTAAAAATGTATTAAAGCCCGAGACATCCAGACACCTCAAGAAACTGCAACCTAAATGCTGCTTCTGAATCTAAAAGATATTTAAAGATTACACTTCAATGACCTAAACTATTTCCTAAACATAAATAGGTCTAGGATGTTTTACAGTTTTAAATAGCTTTAGAAAAGTTTTATTTAAAAAAAGCCTCTAACAGAATGTCAGACATGGGCCTTCTAAATAATGCCATTCTTGTGCTTTCTAAAGTAAAATGGTCAAACTGACCCTCCCACAGAAGCAATTAACAAATGATGGACATTAGAAGAAGAACTGAGGCTTACAATCTGTACGGTAATAATCTTTATTACCAACTGTTGTAATACAATAGATAAAGACCTCACTAATTTATTTACACCTCATTCACAGTAAGCTCACAATATTTTCAACACAGAAAAAACACTTATAAATAACATCTAGTGTTATTATTACCACATTATACTATTTACAACAATATTCTTCACAATTATATTGTGAAATAAAATATAGCCAGATTCATGATGTGCAGTAAAAACAAATGTGAGCTATCATAATGACTCAAATGAGAAAGAATACACTTTGCATTTGCATCTGCATTATACGTATATTAGGGCTGGACGATTTATTTTTCGATTAATTCAGATTTAAGGTTTTGCCTCGATTTTATTATTTTTAAATCAAGAAATTGTGGTTTTAAATAAAAATGTTAACAAGCGTTACAATTACACATGTTGACAATTCAGCAATGTTAACAGTTAAGGCAAGAAAATGATCCGATCACATGATGGCGCACCTGATAAACCGCTCTTGTGTGACGCTCTGAATGTAGAAGACATCACTAATCTTCAACCTGTTCACTGAGAAATGTGTAATTGGATTGGAAAAAAAGAGACATGGGTAGTGGGATGGGGAAAAAGCAAAGTTATTAGATGTGAGTTGAACTTTTTTTTTTACTTGAGTGCCACGTTTTTAGAATGCCGTTTCATGGGTGAGACGCTGAAAAAGTTGTGAGACGAGATTTGAGACACTGTTTAAGTTTGTACAATATGTGCCTTCATATTTCATGCATATTTTGTGCAGAGATATTTAACAAATAACAATTGTTTTAAATTTACACCATGTTGATCACTTTGTGCACTTGAATAACTTTTTTTAACCAGATGGTAAATAAAGAGAATGTTACATATTGTAGTTAAGTTAAGTTGACTAGTTAAACATTAAAAACATCAAAATCGAAATTGTGAATCGTTATGAAAAAAATCGAGATTGGAATTTTATGCCATATCGCCCATATAAGTTATTACCCCCATGCTAAAGTTGCCTAAAAAGAGGAATAAAAAATCATCTTTTGGAAATTGATCTTAATGCCTTAATTAGAAAAATGAGGAAAAATCCAACCTTTAAGGACACCAATTTTCTTTGTGTATGAATAATGTATCATAAATAAATAAATGTTCTTCCTTAAAATACAGGGTGCATAAGTCAGGCAGGATCCTTCCTATGTTAAATTCCCATAGAGTCAGGCAGATTTTTATTTTTAAAGGCCAGTTATTTCATGGATCCAGGATAATATGCATCCTGATAAAGTTCCCTTGGCCTTTGGAATTAAAATATCCCACATCATCACATTCCCTTCACCATACCTAGAGATTGGCATGGTGTTATTTCAGTTAGCCTAATAGCTGGTTTGATTTGCATTGAAAGATGATCTTATGGAAAGTACCCCATGCCAATCTCTAGGTATGGTGAAGGGAATGTGATGATGTGGGTCTATTTTAATTCCAAAGGCCAAGGGAACTTTATCAGGATGCATATTATCCTGGATCCATGAAATAACTGGCCTTTAAAAATAAAAATCTGCCTGACTCTATGGGAATTTAACATAGCCTGACTTATGCACCCTGTATTTTAAGGAAGAACATTTATTTATTTATGATACATTATTCATACACAAAGAAAATTGGTGTCCTTAAAGGTTGGATTTTTCCTCATTTTTCTAATTAAGGCATTAAGATCAATTTCCAAAAGATGATTTTTTATTCCTCTTTTTAGGCAACTTTAGCATGGGGTTAATAACTTATTCACACCACTGTATATATATCATCAATATACATTTTGATAAAATCTCCTCCTGTGTTCAACTTCCACAATAGATAAAAAGTATCATGAGACCTGAAGGTGGGTATATTATGCTTAAAGTCCCCCTGTGGTGAAAATCAAGCTTTTAATGTTGTTTATATGTCTACAGTATGTGTTGTTTTAATATGCTTTAAGACAAACCGTGTACAAATAATATGCTTTAAGACAAACCATGTGCAAATTCATGTCAACACTATTGCTGAGTATTTTCTCCTTAAAACTGCAGTGAACCAAAGACAGTCTCAAAATCGCAGTTTGAAATCACTGGTGTTTCTGACGTCACAAACTACCTTGTAACCAATTACGTCAACGTGTGATCATCAACGAGATCTCTGAGTGAGTGGAGGCGGGATAATTTGCATATTCATAGAACCGCGTATACTAAATGAGGCAAGGGTGTAGAGTTACATTCAAGCTATTTTAAAGCATGAAGAATTTGTTTAAGGAAAAAAATTTTAATATGTAATTTTGGTGATCAAAGATGAGTTTAAAGGGAATAAATTATTGACTACAGGGGGACTTAAAAGCAAATTATCTGAGGAAGGTGTGACTTTGAACTGACCATAATGTTTTTTTTTTTTTGTTTTTTTTTTAAACAACAAAAAATTCTTAGAAGATACATTTAAAATCAATCTTCTCAGAACTGAATTCCTCCTATTTGGTCAAAAACACGTCATATCTTAAGTTACGTATGACTCTTAAATAACGCAACACACCAGTTTTCTGGTGATTCTATAGATGGACACCACAGGCCTAGCAGACAGCAGGATCCTTAGGCCTCTTCAAAGTGTGAATCTTATCAAGCTGTGGTGAAACAGTAGGTGCCAGATGGCTTAGAGGCACCAAGAGACACACACACAAAAAAATCTCCCTCTGATGTTACAACAAGGAGAATTCTGACACGAAGGAACTCACTACACATTATATCCATATTAAAACGTACAACTGTACTTTTTGTAGTGTAAACGGAGTGTGAGTCAAAACATTTCTGACTGAGACTTAACAGACAACATCAAAGAGCACAATACAACCTTCAAAGAGGGCAGTGCATCTTATCTTACCTGTCTAATGCCTCCACAACGCCACAAGCTGCTGCAGTCAGAACCTTCCCTTCCCTTCCCTTCCCTTCCCTCCCCTTCCCTTCCCTTCCCTTCCCTTCCCAAAAACAATTGCTAATTGGAGGGATTCTGTGCGTATTAAGAACCCTGGATTCGCTTCACATCCAGTCGGCTAATCTGTCCATTCTGTTCCTTATGTTGTTTGTTGCCTTGGTTACAGTCATACATAAATGCAGTGGTACAGTACAGTGCGGCTGCTTTAGAGTAAAGTCAGCAGTAGTTGGGCTGGTGGATTCAAGAGGAGGGGAGCTGGTCATTGCGCAGCACTGCACAACACAATTCTACATTTAAGGACTCACGGAAATCTCTCCCTAAGGTATGCTTTGAATATGACCAAAAAGTTTAGACTTGTGTCCTTGACCAGAGTGGGAGATGACTTTTGAGAGTGTTCGATAAATCCCACTGAACTATTCTGCCGTGCAATTGTAATTGGTCCAACTCGACCTGATTCGAGCATTCACAGCTCTTACTGGCCAAAATGCAGTTACTACATGTTTTGTCACAACTGAGTTTTGACCAAAATCAAGTCTCTTTGATTATGATCTGTCCTGTGACAGATGGGTTTGGATCAACTGTGCTCAGATTCAGAGAAAACAGAATGTGACTGATATCAAATAAATCAAAAATAGTTGAAGACGTTTTTCTTAGTTTCACTGTTTCTTCAGAGTCACGTTTAAAGGCATGTAAATGTAAAGTCGATGTCTCCAAGGGGTGTAACGATACACGTATTCGTATTGAACCGTTCGGTACAAGGCTTTCGGTTCGGTTTTCGGTACGCATTTTTAAACCAAACGGTTCGTTGGACCATTTTTCCTGCCGACCAAAATTTTGTTAATTCAAATGTTGGCGCGTCGCGCGTGGCAACGAGCTCATAATGTAACGGTAGAGGTCCACTTTTGCGACACGACTGTCGCGTGGTGTCGCGACGCCTCCCAACGTTGGAATCCAGTAGAGAAAAAATTTGAATTCGCCACTGAAGTAATAACATCACTGCGAGATCTAGTGAGAAACTTTCACATTTCTCCGTTATTAACGGATCAAACAGCGCTGAGGTGGAAACCAGGAAGAAACGTTGTGCCATGAATGAACTATCTAGTGTCCACAGATCAGCAACATTCACCATGGATTTACTGTAGTAACACTACTAACTGTAACCATGGAAGTTTGGCAGGAATAGTAGGCTATAATTCTTTCAAGTAACATTACGTCGGTTTTATTTTGACATTATGAATACAATTGCTACCCTCAAATGTTAATCTGAACTAAAATAAATCACTACTACAATATTACATTTAATTTTGTCCAAGGAGCTCTTTTGTTCTATATGCTCCTAAGAAAAGTCAAGTATAGCTCCATCATTGCTCAAAGTAAAAAAATATCATACTTTATGATGTTAGTTTTAATAAAAATATAATTAAAAAAATTAAATCAAGGAAATTTCTCTGGCATTTCTTTCTTTTTGCTGTATCAAAAACGTACCAAACCGTGACACAAGTGTATCGAACCGAAACGTAAATTTTGTGAACGGTTACACCCCTAGTCCCCACAAATAACGGACCGGTGTGCAATAAATTCAAAAACGTCATGCAAGTTTAACGCAACAATGGTATAACAATGGTGCTGTGAACACCAACACATATTGTTCAAAATCCATAGTTTAGTTGATCTTGATAAGTGCTCATTGTCACAGTTGTACACACAATGGCGTTTTTCTTCCATAAGGAGGTTTGGCATCACAACGGCTTTGTTTCCAGGCAGACCTTTAAAGAACGTGACACACACGTCTCTCGGAAATTTTGGAGAATTTAATCAGATTACGACTTTGAAACTCCCAAACTGTTTCCCATTTTGTGTGCCATATACATCAGATGTTCAGCCAATGTTACGTACTCGTAAGTTAAAGTCCCCATGAAATCAAAATTGACCATACTTACTTTGTTTGCCTAAATTGATCGTTTTGTGGTGAACAATTCATCAATGCAAGTCAATCCACAAAAAAAAAATTTTTTGGCTTCATAATCTTTAATCAAATTTTGAAAATGCCCCTCCCCTCTGCATTGGAGGACCTTGCCCGATGACGTAGGCTTTACCATTTGGGTGTCTGCTTAACATCCATAACCACACCCCTCCAACTGACAGTAGACAGGCTGAATGAAAACACCTACTTTTCTAGATCCAATCAGGTGCTAGTTGGAAAAAAGCCACGCCCACTATTTTGCCTCATTTAGTATTCCGTTTCTCTCGGAAATACGTCACAACACTGGAGAAAAGTCGTTTGCAACTTCCGGTTCACGGGGACTTTAAGTGTTGCAATGTGGACATGTGGGTGTGTTGTTGTTGTGGTGTGTGTGTTTCAGCTGTCCGTTATTGGATCAATCTACTATCAATCTTCATGAAGGACGATGACGTTTTGGTTCACCTCCGCCAATCACATCTCACTACTGCAGTTAAATACCGTGATCACTTCAATGTCGACCAGCTGTTTGCTCACTTTTGTCTGTTGCGCTTGTTTGACGTGCTGTCAATGATTTGTCTGTGTGTCTAATATTCGAGTTCTGTTTATTGTTGCATAGTGTTTTGAGATTATACTGTTCAGCCTGATCAGTTTACACGGAGTGTGTAAACCTGGGAAGAGAGCAGGTAAGTAGGTCGCGCGACATACATTTTGCACTTAGGATGTTTTGGATTATTATGTTAGACACACCAGTTTAGGAGAGTGCCCACTTTATAAGTTTTGTTATTTAGTTAGTGTAGTTTAGTTAGAGCGTCTTGACGCCGAAGATTTCTTTTCTACATTTTTTGTTTGGTAGTTAGTTTAGTCGAATTAACTTTTAGCTAGTTTGTTTTGTTTTATTGATTTGGCATCTCTCGTGCTCGCCTTCCCACCTTGTGTTTTTGTTTGTGTTTAATGTCGTTATTTTGTTATTGTTCCTATTTATTGTTTGTACATGTGGTAAATATTATTTTCTTCTTTGGCACTGAGGATTAATAAATCCTTTTTGAGCTGAGTTCTGAGAGTACAGTTTTCTTTTCTTGCTCTGTCCTGCAGTTTGAGGTACACACACCATTTTTATAAGTGTTATTTCCTTATTCCCTAGTCAACGAAAAAAGGGGATGTAACAGCCAACAATCCGAGGGTGTGACGTCTGAGGCTAAGACTAAAGGTAATGAAAATATTAGTTGAAGAAATTAAATTAAACAATGAGCAATGCAACACTTCCTCTAAATAAATCTGTAAGTGTCAGGGCAAATACTAACTAATTAACTAAGTAACCAACTATACAAATAAATAAAATGAAATGGTTATTCATCAGGAATCGAATGGATCATGAAAAATGATCTATATTACTGGTAGCTGGAGTAAAGAAGTTGGGGGAAAAAAGGGGCGTGTTTTGTTTTGTGACGTCAGTAGGAAGACAATGCTATTATATTATTTTTTAACCCATAACTTTCAGAAAATATTTTTCACAGACTGCAGAAAAATATGTTATGCCACTGCACTGAGCAAAGAGTGCTGCTCAGTTAACTTTATTTCCTGCCTTTTCTGGGCATGCTTCCACCGAAAAACATTGAGGGTGGATCACTTAACAACAAGCACCCGCCTCATGATAACACCGTTTCCCAGGCAACAAAAAAGGAGGGAAAAGCAATAGCTTCTGGATTCCAACAGACTAAAAAAGCAAAGATGTTGCTCTATTTTATTCTATGGCTGCTTTTCAAGTATTAGCTTGCAGTGAGAGAACCAAAGCACTTTACCTTGGAAGTCTTACATCAGACTGCTCTCTTGCGGAGTTGGAAAAATTTTGGGAATCAGTTATGGGTGTTAGCAGCAAACAATATTTCCTATGCTGGTAATATAATAAAACATATCCCTCCGAGCTTTCCACATTACACGACTGGGCTTCCATATTCTCACTGCTAACCCAAACCATTGTTTTCAAAAAACTGTAACAGCTAAACCTAAAAAAGAGACAATTACACATAAAATCTCAATTAAAAACCGATATCAGACCCAGTTTACAGAGACAAAAACCCTCCATCTTCTCAAAAGAATGAAGACCAACACTCAATTAAAAAAAAAAAAAATATTGTGATCAATCAAACCCTACTGAACATTTAATTGAATTGGACTCGAGCTAATGTTAAAACTAAAATAAATAGACTTTCCAAGAGAACCATTATCTACGGTTACTGGAAATATTACGCAGCTGTGGTGCTTTAATATCCCATGAACTTGTGTGAAACTAATGACTCCAACAAATCCATTAACCATGTCCATAAGTCCAGCTCCATTAGACCTGCATGCACTAATGCATCCCCAGATGGTAATGGAAATGTTGACTGTGTGAAATGAGGGGGTGGGTGAAATATTAATTAACATCTCCATTTTAAATACCCTATTATATTTGAGTTTGGACAGACAGTCAAATCACAGTCACTCTCTGAAGCTAGCAGAGTAATAATAAGTTATTGTATTTTATATGTAGTTTTCGCATAAAATAACTTTTAATAACATTTAATAAATGTAAATGTAAAACTGACAGACACAGTTGATTGCATCTCATATTCATTGTAAATAAAGTTATCAGTTTTGAAATCAGTGTCTTTTCTGTCAGGAGACAGGACAGATGGAGATACTCTTGGAGGCATTAATTAGGTCATGAGGGCATGTGTCATGTGTGATGCTGAGTTTTATGGGCCCCAAGAAAACTCAGAAACTGTAGATTCAGTCCTATTATTTTTCTTCTGTAATTTTTTACTCCAATCTCTCTTCTCTCATTCACACACAGACACACTGATACTCATCCTCCGTAGAAGCTGCTCCAGGGAATTTGGTGTCAACCAGAGGTTTCTATTTAGACAGAAATAAAATAGATGATATCTCGCAATCTCAAATTTGTCGGCTTTGGCTATAGTGACATTGTTTTAAGCACTGATTTTATAGATATAGTCATGCTGAGTAGGTGATTAAGACTAAATCAGGTTATTCTG